CACTTAGCTTTTGAGTGATCTTTTTGCTGCTGAAGGTAAGGAAGTTAATTTTACGAGTTGATCCCTGAGTATAGTGTCCCTTTTCGATCCAGTGGTTCTACTCTGCTTACAAGCTCCAGCATAAAAACCAAGACATGAAAGCCACAATGGTGAACACAACAAGGGTCAGGTGATGTTAGTCTAAGGGCCACTCACCACAGGAATAGCTTCTGTTGAAGATGAATATGTGAGACAGGTACCTTCATGAATATCTTCACTGTGNCAGTCTGTGGACCGGCCCGTCCGGCCCGAAGGCGGGGCCCCCTCGCCGCGGCCTCGGTGGCGTGAGCGCAGGGCGGGGGCCGGGGCCCCGCGGGGAGGGAGCGCACCGCCCCTCGCCCGCGAGGCGGGAGCCGGCCGCCCTCCATTGGTCAGGCCGGCGGGCCAATCCCCAAAGGCCGCGGGCGGAGGTGGGGGCCGTGCGTGCGGGACTCCAGAGCCGACCGGAGGCTCTGCGGGACCCAGTCGGATCGAGCCTCCGAGGCGCCGCCCGCGCTCCTCCGCCGCCCAGGGGAGCGACCTCCGAGCCTCTGGCGCCGCGGCCACTCCTCGGGGCCAGGAGCGGGGAAGCCGAGCGGGAGAAGCGGCGAGCCGAGCGCAGCCTGTTCCCGCAGCCGAGCACCATGACCCACTTCAACAAGGGCCCTTCCTACGGGCTTTCGGCCGAGGTCAAGAATAAGGTGCGCCCGGGCTCGGGTGGGGTCCCCGGGACGGGGCGGCGCCGCGGCTCGCCGGCCGTGCGGCGCGGAGGCGTCGGGGCTGAGGAGAGCGGCCGCGTGTGCGCATCCCGTCCGGGGCTCGAGGCGCCGGCCCTGAGCGTCCTCCTGGCTTTGTTCCCGCGCCCGGGGCCGGACGGGCGGCGGGCGGCTGGTTCTTCGCTCCCGGAATCCCGGCGCGCGGGCCCGGGGGGCGCGGGAGCCGGTCGTGGCTGCAGGACGCGCCCCTCCGGGCAGGGGGCACTCCTGTGCGGTCGCTCGCTCTTAGGTGGGGTCGGCCCGAGCGGCCGGGAAGGGAACCCCGAGAGCAGTGCGGGCCCGGGCTGCTGCCGACCCCGCGTCCTCTCCCGCCCCGACCCCCGGGTCGAACGCAGCCGCGAGCCAAGTGAGGCGGTGTCGTGGCCAGCCTGGGCCTCCCATTGTTCCCGGCGTCTTCCCGGGGTCCGTCCCCTCGACCCCGGGGACGCCTCGCTGTGTTCCGAGTCTCGGTGCCTTGGAGCGAGTTGCCTCCACTGTGGGAAACCGAGACAAAGCCCGNATCAATGAGCATCCTGTGTGAAGAGGGCTTTGTAAACCTGAGATGTTTAGAGTTCATCCTAAACAGTGGGTCCCACAGTAGAAGGATAAGACTGGGAATGCTGCTATCCCCAGGTACATGTACTTTTGGTTAAATCGAAGATATAAGAGCAAACCTCCTGACTTTTCCTGAATTAGTTTAGCTAGTAAAATCCAACCAGGGGAAGCCATGACTTTGAAGGCACAGGCTTCCTTGCTCACTGCTATCTTTTTAGCGTCTAGAACAGAGCCTGACACACAGTAAACACTCAACAGATATTTGTTAAGCGAATAAATTAGTTGGATGAAAAGATGTGTATATTTTAAGAGCACCATTTTACCAACCTTCATTTATCCTTTGTGGGTTAATGCTGACTAGAACAGTATTTTTGGCTTACACCTAAAGGAGCTGAGAAGTTATTAAGTTATATATTAACCAATCTTTTGGAGGGTTATATAAATGAAAAATGACTCAGCAGTTCTCAGGAGGTGATATTGCATTTTAACTCATAAATATTAAGTAGGTTCCTGCTTTGTACTCAGAACTCAACTAGAAACCAGTGAGGAACTGATATAAAACATGACTTCTACCCCATGGATTTAAGATATAATAGAAAGATGGCAATAACATGTGAAGAGGATCAAAATATGCCACCCAAAATATTGCTTAGGCATAAGGATTATTTTGAAGTGAAGGCAATTAAGAAACTGAAGGCACAGGAAGAACCTTCTGCCTCCCCTTTTATGACTAAAATGAGGGCATAAATCTCTGTTTATGTAGGTGTCTCCCCTCCCTCTCCTGTACCAGGAAGAGGAAAAAGATTCTTAATCACTGGAGATTCTTATCACTGGAGTTTGCTAAACCCTGTCTTCATTAGTTCCCCCATATATGTACTTTCCCACAATTTATCACCTCTCCACAATTTATTGCCCTATGTTAAAATGGCATGTAAGTTCACAAACCTAACCACTTCTTTGGGTTTTCACTTCCATTGTATGATGCTCCCATGTGCATGCATAATAAATCTTTTCTCCTGCTAATCTGTCTTTTGTCAGTTTAATTTGCAGGCACCAGTTACAGAACATAAGATGGTACAAGAAAAGTTTTTTCCTCCTCTACACATGCGTGAAAGAATTGTGTGACAATGACTAGTGGTTTAATTCACACATGCAAAAATAAGAATACATGAGTAAATAAAGTGCAAGATAAATAATAATTGAGGCTTAGTTTTCTTTTTTAATTAAAAATCTATTAGGGTGACAATGGTTAGTAAAATAACATAGGTTTCAAGTGTACGATTCTGTAATACATCATCTATATATCACATTGTGTGTTCACCATCCAGAGTCAGTTCTCCTTCCATCACCATATATTTGATCCCTTTACCCTCATCTACCATCCCCCATCCTCCCTTATCCTCTGGTAACCACTAAACTACTGTCTGCGTCTATGAGTTTTGGTTTATTTGTTTGTCTTGTTCCTTTGTTGCTTTCAGTTTTATATCCCACATTTAAGTGAAGTCATATGGTTCTCGACTTTTTCTGTCTGATTTATTTCACTTAGCATAATTATCTCAAGATCCATCCATGTTGTTGCAAATGGAACTATTTCACCTTTTCTTATGGCAGAGTAGTATTCCATTGTGTATATATACCACATCTTCTTTATCTAATCATCTATCGAAGGACACTTTGGTTGTTTCCAAGTCCTGGCCACCGTAAATAAAGCTGCAGTGAACATTGGAGCACATATATCTTTACAGATAAATATTTTCAGATTTTTTGGGTACATACCCAGGAGACGGATTGCTGGGTCATATGGTAGTTCCATTCTTAAATTTTTTGAGGAACCTCCACACTGCCTTCCAAAGCAGCTGCGCCAATCTGCATTCCCACCAACAATGCATGTGGTTTCCTTTTTCTCCACAGCCTCTCCTTCACTTGTTATTATTAGTCTTGATGATGATAGCCATTCTAACCAGTGTGAGGTGATACACATATCTCATTGTGGTTTTATTTGCATTTCTCTTATGATTAGTGATGTTGAGTATCTTTTCATACGTCTATTGGCCATTTGTATGTCCTCTTTGGAGAAATGTCTATTAATGTCCTCTGCTATTTTTTTATTGGATTGTTTGTTTTTTTATTGAGTTGTATGAATTCCTTATATATTATCAAAGGCATTGTTTGCAAGTATCTTCTCCCATTCGGTTGGTTGCCTCTTTGTTTTGTCGATGGTTTCTTTTGCTGTGCAGAAGCTTTTTAGTTTGATATAGTCCCATTCATTTATTTTCGCTTTTACTCCCCTTGCGGTCAAATTCATAAAAGCCTCTTTGAACCCAAGGTCTATAAGTTTAGTACCTATGTTTTCTTCTATACAGTTCATTGCTTCAGGTCTTATGTTTAGGTCTTTAATCCATTTTGAGTTAATTTTGGTACCTAGTGACAAAGAGCATTCTAGTTTCATTGTTTTGCACATGGCTTTCCAATTCTTCCAGCACCATTTTTCAAAGAGGATTTCTTTTCTTCATTATGTGTTTTAGTTCCTTTATTAAAAATTATCTGTCCATATTTATGTGGGTNACACACACACACACACTCAGGAGGCAAGCCCTTATAGTCCTCCTCGTTTGCACAGCAGCGGGTAAAGGCTGCTGCTGCTGACATCCTCTCCCTCTGAGTGCTGACAGATTTCAGAGGGGGCCATGCCACAACTGTTAGTATTTTCCTTTTTAAGTCTCAAATTGAGACATTCCTTATTCCCCTTGCAAGGCCACCCTTTCTGTTCTTTGAAATGATTTGGAAGCTTACAGTCTATAACTGGCAAAAAATGATAGAGACAGATAGTAAATGCATCCAGCTGCAAAACGAAGCAATGCATTATGTCAAATAGATATTTATCTCCTGAACATCGGTACTACGGGAACCCTGAATCAGGAACAAATGTGAACTGTGGTCCTTGCCTTCAAGGAGCATATATAATTAGGTTGACTGTCTTCGACAGGCTTTTTGGTGTCAAGGAACAGAAGGCCACTTGGGCTTGCTGATGTAAATTGAAGTATTTGTTATAAGCAAGGAACGGAAAACAGCTGGGTGGCAATAAGAGACTAAAAGCAAGAACTGGGTGCCAAGAAGAACCAGTGCGGCCCTCCTGTCTGTTGGAGTTTTTAAGTCTCTCACCACTGTGTTCTCTCTGAGTCTGTGCTTCATGCTGACTTCCTGCTGATCAGCTGTGTGAGCTTGAGACCAGCTGAGACTGCTTGTTGTACCCACTATCAGCCTCTCCCCCTTCTTCTGTGAGAACAGAGTTTTAACTGGATACAAGGCTACTCAGCTAAAGACTACCCTCCCAAATCTCCCTTGCTGCTAATGGCAGCCATTTGTTAGGCTCTGGCCAATGCGACACAGAAGAAGTGATATGCACAACTTCCAGATAATGCTCTTACACAGAAAGGGGTGAGCGCCTGGGGCTGGCTGAGTGGCTCAGTCGGTTAAGAGCTCACTCAAGAGTGTGAGTTCTGAGCAACAAAGTCACCGGTTGGATTCATGGCCCAAGCTGAGCTGCCAACAGGTGGCAGGATGACTCAGCTAAAAAAAACAAAAAAAGAAGAAAAAAGAAAGAAAAGGATGAGCGCTTTTCTTCTTCCTTTTCCCTCCTTGCTGCCTACGTGTGGATAAAGATAGCAGGAGCTGAAACCATCGTCTTGAACCTAGAGATAGAAACTGCAGGTAGAGGACGGCAGAGCCACAAGCCAGGAGGAGCCTGGGTCTCCAGCCCTGTGGAGACATCATATTAGCCCTGGAGTGCCTAGGTTCAGACTTTCATAGGAAAGGGAATTATTCTTCTATCTTGTTTGTGCTGGGTCTTGTTTATATTTGGTCTTTATTAAAGAGGCCAGAAACGGTCACTTAACCAATATACCTACTTTCTTTGCTTTTCTACAGACAAGATGGAAAATGACCACCTTACAGCCCTCTAAATTTAGAAGACCTCAGTTGAAGTGACCAACCAAGCATCAGATACGCAGGCAAGAGGACTGATTGCCCCATCTTGGTCTTCTAGTCAGCTAAACTGAGAGGGGTGAGTCAAAGAGTATGAGCCCAACTTTCGGGGCTCACCCTTTGGAGGGGTCCTCAGCAGATCTGCTGTATGGATCCAGGCTTCTGGACTGAGATTAACGAGTCCTAGACGCATATATGTGTTATTTTAGAAATAGATAACTGGTAATACGTAAAAGCAAAGCATATGCATTAAGTGGATTAGTGAGTGAGAAGGAAATCTCAGAAATTTGAAAGGAAACCAACATCTCTTTTGCAGTTAATCAGGCCTTCCTTCTGTGGATGTGAGGGTGGGCTGGTAAGCTTGGGGGTGACTTTGTCCTCCCATGCAGATCTTCCAAAGCTGCTTGTTCTGCCCAAGAGGATGACAGTCCCAAATAAAGAAGAACGACTCTTCAGTCAAGTATATTCAAGGAGCTCTGTTCTTCTGTTAGACCCTTGAAACAGACGTAATTAATATGAGATGTTTTTGGTAAGTAGGGGAGCATTTTAGATGAAAGAAAAAAATGACAGACTGAAGATCAGCACTTTGGGGATCTTATTGGGTCATCCCCAGGAAATGAAATAACTGTGGTGAAGAATGCTTTTCATGTTGAGGGCAGGGGATTCTTCATGTGCATCAGCTCTCCCCTGGTTTTCGCTTATGTCCCACGCCCAGCAGTACAGGGGAATTATTAGTAGAATGGACTCTAGAGACCCCTGAGTGACCCTCTCCGGGCCACAGTTTCTTCACTTTCATCTNTCGAAAGACCCTTTCATAGGGGTCGCCTAAGACCATCGGAAAACAAAAAGACATTTACATTATGATTCATAACAGTAGGCAAAATTACAGTTATAGAGTAGCAACGAAAATAATTTTATGGTTGGGGGTCACCACAACATGAGGAACTGTATTAAGGGGTCGCAGCATTAGGAAGGTTGAGAACTGCTATAATAGGTGGTTATGTATCTAGAATGGCTGGAAAATGGGCCCACCTACTTAATTTCATTTTTTGCATGAATTATCAGATGTATCACTCAAGAATTTCTATTTTTAAGTCACCTCAATATTTAATTTCTCTAGGCTTATTTTAATCTCTCATTAATTCAGAAAACAAGCACAGAAGGATTTTTCAGGACCTCAGATCATCATCGTTACTCCTGTAAGGCCAAATTCCTCACAGCCTTTGATGCCTTGCTTGACCTGGTATCTTTCTGGCTATCTCACTTCCTCCTTCTCTCTCTTGCTCAGTACCTCCCACTAGTTCTCAGTACATTTGCTTTGACAACTTTCTTTGCCAAGAATGTCTTTTCCTGTTATCTTTTGGACATTCAGCTCTCTGCTTGAATATCACTTCCTCCCAGACCACCTTCTCTGAAGCAGCACGCACACCATCCAGCACAAGGTTCATTTACTGACTTACGGTGCTCATGGCGTCCTGAAATTATCTTCCTTATTGTACTTGCTTGATTATGATCTGTGCCCCAACCCCAACAGATTGAAAGCTCCTAAAGAAAGATCTTAACTGTCCCATTTACCATCGTATCCAGGGCCAACATGAGCCCCCTGTACAGGGTTGGCATTCAGCAAATAGCTAATGAATGAATTTAATGAACTAAAGGTCGATCAAATGACATACCTTCAAAAATGCTTTCTATAAAGTACATTCTGTTATTAGCTTGTTTTTCATTCATTAGATAAATATGTATTGAATGGCTACTGTGTATAAAGCGTGAGAGATACAATGTTGAACAGAATAGTTCCTGTTCGCATGGAGGTTTATAACCTCCATGAGAAATAAAAGAACATGATAAATAAAAAAAATGAGAAATAAAAGAAAAAAATTCAGCTAGTTTAATTTTCTGTTTACTGTATTAATGCTTTTAATACTGTTGCATGAAATGTCTTTTTTCCAGATGTCTTCATTGCCAAAAGGTAGACATGTTTATTTCAAGAAACAGGTGTGAAGCCACTTTTGACATAATCTAGCAATACTCTCCTCTGTCAGAACAGTGCTATGTGCTGAAATTTACACTCCTGAGAAAATGACTCCTCAAAGAGTGAAAAGGAATTGCATTTGGATAGGGAACTGCTGGCCTTTAGGTTTCAGAGTAAACAAGTTTACAAAGGAATTAAACTGCATTAGTATTTTGATAACATCTTAAGTTATCTAAGGTTTTTGATAAGCAAAAAAAAAAGATTGGAATGTGACACTGGAATGTGAGTCATTCTGTACTTCAAAATGAGTGCTCAGCTGAGATTCTTCATGTTAACCCTTCCTCTTACCAACAGAAGCTTTTAAACCACATCCTTATCAAAATCAAGAACACACATAATTAAAGAAGCTACA